CGTGTCCTTTTCTTGTCGTAAGGCAATTTGTGATACATATTATCTCTCCATTGTAGTTCAAGATATTTGGTAATGGGTTAACTTGGAAGATACTTATAAAACTGTTGCAATAATTGCTCGAATATGATTTCATTTGCTAACTTATGCACTGCAATTGAAACCATCGTCAGAGGCAAGATATCCAAGCCATGTAGAATATGTGAGAAAAAATTACGTACTAAAATCAGATCTAAAATATTGCGTTTTGTTTTATTGAATAGCTCAGCTGATTTACGATATGCACTACCATTTCTATGATACTATAGCTAGCGGCATTGGGTGTATCGATTTTCATATATCAGGTTTGCTTATATTGTAAAGCTACTAACGAGTTGAAATTGTATATCATTATATCATACGTACAACCTGCAATCACAGTCATCATTAAAGTCGTGATATTCGAGTTACATATAGTGAGAATAAAATTTTAATTAAAAACTATTGCGTATACAACAACATTATACACTATTTTCATTTTAAGCAGTTATTTTATTCATCTTATCTAATATAAAATTCAATCATGCACGGATTGTAAACACATCAAGGCAATGGAAATGCTAGGAAAATTATAAAACTAGCTTTGCATTAAGATACTCCGACACTCCCTATTGCTGAGATAAAGAAATTGAGCAGATTTATTTTCAATAATTAAACACTAAGCTACACCAAGCACGCTAAAGATACGCCTTAAGCATTGGATAAACTATAGAATTATAATCTAATATAATCCAGAAGCTAACAAATTACTCTGTAGTGAGGATTTTAGATTAGCTATGGTTTTCAACATGCAATGTTAAGTCAATTAGATATAACTTAAAGCAATGTAAAATCTAGGGCTGCAGAAAAATAATAGGAATGTGTACATGAGTAATGTTTCTGATAATTCCTGTATACTTTTTCAGCTTCGTAGTACGTAGTAATTATTATAACGTTTATTTCTTCCTAGTGTACCTGGGCATGTATAAATACGCCAGCTGAAGATGTCTAGTGCACTCATTCCTCGTGCTATACTCACATACCTTACTAATTTTTACTTTATATACTCACATATTAGGGTACAGCGTACTGTATTGTATATACTCACTTCTTGTAATGTAGAAGATTGTGATCATAATAACTTTAAATAAATTCAATTCAATTTTGATATAGCATTGCGTACGTATGATCTTGACAGGCAGATAGAAAATTCTTACCGCTAGTTAATTATAAGATTGCTGTATATATATACGTGCGTAATGATTGGGTAGTAATTTGTGTGTGCAATAAGAATAACGACGTAATGTACGATGTTTTTTTCATTTTTTACGGTATTCGCAGCGGTTGCGGTTAAATAACTAACACATTGTAATAAATTATTTCAAAACATTAAAGCAAGAGCCAGTACTTCTTATAATATTTCACTTTATCACATAAACTTGGTTCTTCTAATAATACCATTAACTGGCTGTCTTCGGGCTAAAACTGTCTAACTGATTACGACAAGATAGCAGAATTTCATTAGGTAAAATAATATCCATTAACTATAACCCCAATAAATCGTGGATAAATCATATTACCAAAATTGCTGTTATTTTACGTCCCATAGTGATCATAATTAATGCGATGAGATTGATATACCGTACTTAAATTAAAAAAGAGTAAGTTTTATAACATTAAAATCAAAGACACTGAATTATAATACAATTTCTGCAAATATTAACTTACATTAATTCAATTACATACCTAAATTAATTTACTCAGTTTCCGCTGATAAATAATTAATCTATCAAATTTATTATGACTATCTAAATCAAATCAAGTAGTCTAATTTTCAGCTTTCAAAAACATCGTTAATTAAAAAAAATTATTAACCTATTTTAACACCAGCAAGGGCTGAATAAAATTAAAACTTTCTGTGAAGAGTATATTTTCTGTTTGGAAAAGAATTACGTTACTTCTAAGAGAAGGTGGCCATATTACGTTTACTATGGCAAACTTAAAGCAGGCATTGATTAATTCTTCGTCACATCAGCAGCTATGAGATCATCAGTTTGTGTTTGCTACTTACCGAATTCTTTAAAGCTTGAATTTACAGTAATCGGAAACAAATTTAAGATATTCATGATGCATCAACTGTTATAATCTTCTATTTGTTGATAAATTAGCTCACGAGCTACAGTACTCCGATTAGTCTCTCAATAAGTAGTTCACCGTTTTATCGAATCAAATAAATACTTTTATTTCTTAATTACATAAATTAACACAAATTTATCTTCCTTATAAAACCTGGGACTAAACCAACTAAATAGCCGATTCGACAAGCTGAGCTAACTCCTAAGCTGCTGTTACACAATCGCTTGTATACAGTAGGAATTGAGGACTGAAAGTATATTTTCAGTAATTTTGATTACTAGTGTAACAAAACCAATGACAATTAAAGATATTGATGA